TTATTGAATTGAATTGAATTGAATTAGTCCAGGCTCTACCACTAATTAGCTGTGTGATTTTGGGCAAACCACCTTGACCTCTCTGGTCCTTGTGGTCTTCTGTTAAGTGGAGACAATAAATCTCACTTGTGAGAGTCAGGTGAAATAACTGATGAGGACCTGCTTCGAACAAGAGAATGGGTTAGACACGTGAAAGCTCATTGTTTTATGATTTGTACTGGAGGAAGGGAGGTCTGGTGGCAATGGAAGGGAAGAAGGGAGGCAGGCCCACTCAGGTGGCTGCCATGTTGTATTATCTTCTCTTTCTTAGTTCCATTCTGGCTGCCATCTCTCCAGAGCCCCTTCAGACAATGGCCTGGCATGATGCTTGGTGTGGGCTGGATTGCCATGACACAGTCATTGTAGCTGAGCTGAGAATACCTGGGGAAAGGGGGAGACATTTCTACCTGGTCCAGCGCCCACACTAGAAAGAGCGTCCTGACCCTTTCCCATGTTGTCAGCCCTGAAGGCCCCAAACCCTGAGGGAGTTGGAGGCTCTTGGGAAAGATGTTGATAAAGGTCATGGAAGAAAACTCTGTAGGTGAGTCAAACTACATCTGGTCATTAAAGGGCAGAGTGGCACAGTGAATAGAGATTTGGCTTTGGCGTTCAAGAAAACCTGGCTTCAGATCTCACCTCTGACACATGATAGCTATGCCACTGTGAGCCTTACCTGGGCCTTGTAAAATGGCAGTGACAGTGGATAGAACACTGAACTTGGAGCCAGGATGACCTGAGTTTTAATCCTACCTCAGACATTTATTATATGTATGACCCCTGGGCAAATCACTTGCTCTCAGCCTCAATTATCTCATCAGTAAAAGGGGATAATAATAGCACCTAACCTCCCAAGGTTCTGGTAAGGATCAAACAAGGGAGGCATAGAGAGACAGTGTGGTGCAGTGGAAAGCACACTGATTTGGTAGTCAAAGAAACTGACTTCTTCTGCCTCTGGTGTTTTGTTTTGCTTTTTAAAGCCTTAGACTGGCAGCTAGGAGACCTATGTTCTAATCCCACATCTACCACTAAGGCACTGTGAGAAAGGGGAGCTCATCTGCTTGGTGAAGATCATGGGCTGGACAGTTTCTAAGGCCCCTTCCTGACTCTGAGCTACAGTGTCTACTCCTTGCCTCCTTTTCATGTGCTCTCCGGGGGTCTTCATGTTTCCAACCCATTTCATCTTTGCTTACATTTAGATTAACTGAAAAGAGATGTAAAGAGACATATCCCTGCTATGCCCATCTCCTCATCCCTAGGGGGTGGATTAGAGGGACAGAGCAGGAGAAAACAAGCATTGTGGATTTGGAAAGGCTGTAGCTGTGTTACCATGAGCAAAATTACTTCCTTCTCTGATTCTCAGGAACCTCACTTGTAAAATGAATTACACTACCTACCTCTAGGGGCTAGTCAGAAGAAAACATTTTTTGAACCTCAAAAGACTATAGAAATCTGAATTCTTAGAACTGTTATTATGATCTCTCCTAGTTACTCTGATGGGCAGAGATAGAAACTGGGTCATTCAGAAGCTGTCTGTCCTTCCCTTCTCCCTACCCTTTAGCCCAAACTACCCTCTCTGATATTTTATTTGATCTTCATTTTTTAATTTTTGTGTTTGTCTTTAAAATCAACAAGCATTTATTTGTATCTTTTGGATCTATGGAAAGGAGAAGAGTTCATGACCAATCAAGGGACAGAGAGGATCAAAGAAGATAATTTTGATTATATAAAAACCTAAAACATTTTGCACAAACAAAAAGAATGCAGCTAATATTAGAAAAGAAATAGTTAACTGGGTAAGAAAATCTTTGCAGTGAGAGTCTCTGATAAAGACATCATTTCCAAGATATATAATTCAAAATTACAAGAGTAAATCCATTTCCTAATTGATAAATGGATATGAATGAAAGAATATGAACCAGCAGCTCTCAAGGAAAGAAATCTAAGCTAATAACAGCCATATGAAAAAATGCTCCAAGTCACTAACGATTTGTTGTTGTTAAATTGTTTTCAGTCATGTTCAACTCTTTTTTTTTTTTATTTTTTGGCAATTAGGGTTAAGTGACTTGCCCAGGGTCACACAGCTAGTAAGTGTCAAGTGTTTGGTCTGAAGCCAGATTTGAACTCAGGTCCTCCTGACTTCAGGGCCAGTGCTCTATCCACTGTGCCACCTAGCTGTCCCATGTCCAGCTCTTTATGACCCCGTTCGGAGTTTTCTCGGGCAAAGATACTGGCATGATTTGCCATTTCCTTCTCCAGCCATTAGTAATGAAAGAAATGAAAACTAAAGCCAACCTGAGGTTCCACCTCACACCCATGAGATCGGCAAAGTTAGCAAAAAAGGAAAATGACAAATGTTGGAGGGGCTGTGGGAAAACAGGCACATTGATGGAGCTGTGAATTGGTTCAATGATTCTGTAAAGTCATTTGAAACTATGCTCAAAAATTATTAAGTGGTGCTTACCTTTTGACCTAGGGATACTACTACAAGACCAAAGAGACCAATGAAAGAGAAAAAAGGTTCATGTGTTTCATTTAATCTCAGTTCCACCCTTCTAAGAGAGATGGAAATAGAATTATTTTCCCCATTTTATAGACAATAAAACAAGCAAATTCTTCTATCAGTCAAATGAGGGGGTTGAGGCTCAGTGATCTCCAAGGTTCCTTCCAGCTCCAAACCCATGATCCTAGGATGATTTAACTGAATGATACTATGACTTAGCCTAATCCTCCAATGTCCAGGTAGGTCTTAGAGGAGGGTATGCCCTGGGAGGTGGTCCTGTAGTATTATTGGTTCCAGGAGCTGGCTTCCAGGAAGAAATGAGGACTACAGCCTTCCCATAGGTTTCAGGGCATGTTCTGGAAGCTCTTCTTCTTCCCACTCCCACCCTTAGTTATGAGGACCTCCAAGCCTCTATTTTTCTTTGGGGAGATATGGGTCCTTGTAGCTGGTCTAAGCAGAACCCTCTGTGAATCTCAGGCAGTTAGGGTGATGGGCTCCACTAAGCAAGTTGATTTCTTTAGCTCAGGCAGTATTTTATGATGGCCCTGTAAACCAATTACAAGTAATTAGGGATGGAAGGACTCCCATCTGTCTGGGCAGCCTGGGGCCTCCCCCATCCACACTCCCAGCCACCATCTCCAATAGAGAAGAGACAGAATTGGATCATAAATCTACGAATGGACCTTAGGTACCATCTAACCCAACTTTGGTCTATCTTGCTCCTATCCCTGCCTTAGCACTGGCTAGTAATAGACCAGAATCTCTTTCTCCCCTAGTAGGGCAGTGTCCTAGAATCCTAAAATGGTGACTGGTGCATACCTTTTTGTTGTTCCTGCTTGCCCAGGTAAGGATTTGTCTTGTGCTCTTTGCCCGGGCACCAGAATTGCTAGCTATGGTGCTGTCTCTGTGCCTCTGTTTCCCCATTTGTAAAATATGGTAAGGGTAGACTAGATGATGGTCCTTTCCAACCCTATACATCCTACAATCCTCTCAGTATGATGGAGGTGGGATGAATTGCTGATTCTGGATCCACCAATTCAAGCAACACAAAACAGAAAAAGATGGGTTCATCTTTACATCTCTAAATCCGCACCAGAGCATAACATTCAATAATTGAACTCAAGAAGCATTTATTAAGTGTCTACTGTGTGCCAGGCACGGTGCTAAGTATTAGGAATGCAAAGAAAGGCAAAAGGCAGAGCTTGCCCTCAAAGATCTTACAATCCAACGAGGAAACAACATGCAAACAACTATGTACAGACAAGCTTTAGCCAGGATAAATTGGAGATAATCAATAGAGAAAAGCATTATCATTAAGGGGGATATTGGAAGATTTCTTGTATAAGGTGAGATTTTAGTTGAGACTCGGCATTTTTAAGCATCTACCACATGCCAAGCTCTGTACTGGCAATGGGAATACAAAGATAGAAGCCCTCAGGGTGCTTCCATTCTACAGAAGAGACAACATGTACATTTATGAATTCATTATTACCCTCCCCCCACCCATATACTTTGTCAAGTTATAAAAATATTGGCTAAAATTCACAGACCCCTTGACTTTGTATTGTTTTTCTTCCTTTGGACAGGTGAGGAAAGAGGCCCAAGGATGTGGAGGGATTTACCCAAGGGCATACATCTTTTGCCCGGTGCTTAACACTCTCGAAGGGTTTTTGCCTTCATTATCTCACTAGCCTTATGAAGACCCTTTGGGGACGTCAGGGCAGGAGTCATCCCCATTTGACAGTGAGCAGCTGGCTGGCTCTCAGCCCAGGCTGAGGCCAGAGGCGGCCTCTCCTGATGCCCTCCTATTATAACATACAGAGGGGATAGACTGGTGATGGCCCTCTGTCTCAGCATAAAGCTGACTCTGCCTTCTCTCAGCACGGAAAGAGTTCTGACCTTGGAGTCTGGGGACATGGGTTGGAGTACTGGCTCAGACATATAATATCCATGTGACCTTGGATGAATTACTTCATCTCCACTGGCATCTGTTACCCCACAGGATTGTTCTGAGGAAAGCCCTTTGTAAATCTTAAATTGCAAATCAAAGGAGACTTCGTATTGTTTTGCTATTGATGCCCTTCCAAGGGGGAGAAAACAGGATTCCAGCTTTGAGACACAAATGGTCCTGGGCTGAGCCACTTTTGAGTTCTGCCTGCCGATCCACCACCACACTATCCATCTCCTCAGCTGACCATACCCAACTATCCTACCTATCCTCAGGCCAATTGGATGGGACTTGAGAAATTTTTAACTGTAAGATCTTTGAGTGAGCTAAAAAGGGCCTTAGACCACAGAACTGAATATGTCATATCTGGAAGGGGCTCTTGGAGCAAAGGTCCCTTTTTTATATAGACCTCTTGGGCAGTGTGGTGAAGTCTATGGAGTCCTTCTTAGAATCATGTTCTTAAAGGCACAAGATAAAATACATAGGATTAAAAGGAAACCAATTATGCTGAAATATTATTATCAAAAAACATTTTTCAAAGTTAATGGACCCCAGGTTAAGAACTCCTGCCTTAGACTATAAAATGGCAGAGGTGGGAGAGTCCATAAAACATAGAATGTCACCACTTAAAGGGATTTTAGAACATAAAAAAGTCAGAGCTAGGGAGTTAAAACAAAGAATTCTGGAGCTGGAGATCATATAATACAACTCCTTCATTTTTCACCTGGGAAAAATGAGGCCCAGAAAGAAGCAAGGACTTATCCACACTCCTAAGTCTGGGAGGCAGGGGAGGCAGTATTTTAGGCAGTAGAGGAAGGCTTCCTGGAAGAGGGGGAGCCTTGAAGAATGGGGAAGATTTGGAAAGTGAAGGGGATCCCATACAGAAAGGGAAGCTTGACCAAGGCACGGAGCAGGAATGAGCCTTGTGGAAGTCGCTGAACAACAAAAGTTTTGCCACAGAGGAGGACGCTTCTTGGGAAGAACACTTCTTTTGAGTGCTCTATGGCATCTGGCACCAGGAGGAAATTCATTCAGGTAGAATGAAATCCTCCCAATCACCTCCTTGTCTTCTTTCTTCTCTTCCTTCTCCTCCTCTTTCCCCATCTTCTCTCTCAGATGAGGCTAGAGAGGTAGGCTCAGGCAATGCTGTGGAGGACGTCGAATGCCAAGCCTAGAAGACAATGAGAGAATAGTATCTTCTGTCAGGACTGAAGGGCAGAAGAGTGATGGCCAACAAGTTCTTGGCCTTGGCCCACCCCACCAACGCTGTAACCTTCAACTCTCTCTTTTGAGTTTGGTTTGAAACACCAGCTCCCAGAGTGGATGCCTATGATAACTGCTCAACCAGGGATCCTGAATCACATGGAATCAAAGGGGGAGGGGGGGCAAAACTATAAAGGACTTTGGATGTCACCAGCTCAACCTCCTTGTTTACTGGAAAGGAAACTGAGGCTCAGAGAGGGGGAATGACCATTACCCAACGAGTTGCTCCCACTTCACCAGAAGCCCCATCGCCATCACACGTTCCCTCCTGACCAAGCTCCAGGCTTCCTTTCTCATCTGCACTGCATGGGGGAACAGTATCATTTCTGCCCCCACTTTGTGGTCAAACCTTGATTGGGTCCCCCTAGAAGACTGGGGCCTCTTTGATCTGAGCTGCTGCCTTCTTCCTTCTCCCCTACATAAGATGGACCAGAATCCAGAGACCCTTCATCCTTCCATGACTGGGGCCCACCCCTGGTTTTCATGGCTGCCAGGTTCTCAGCAGAAGTCATCCTGATTGTTAGGAGAGGGGCTGTTTTTTACAGACTTCTGGGATAACCCATACATCCAGGTGAATTATTTTGATCTTTGAGATAAGGACAATAGTCTTCCCTTAGTTCAGGGCAGGAAAAGAGAAGGAAAGAAGCATTTATTAAGTGCCTACTGTGTACCAAATACTGTACTGAGCGCTTTACAACTGTTATCTCATTTCATCCTCACAATGACCCTGAGAGGGAGATGCTATTATTATCCCCATTTTATAACTGAGGAAACTGAGCCAGACAGAGGTTAAGTGACTTGCCTGGGGTCACAGAGCTAGCAAGTGTCTGAGACCAGATTTGAACTCAGGTCTTCTGGGCTCCAGGTCCAGTACTCTACCCACTGAGCCCCTTGGCTAAGGGGAGAATCTAAGCGCTGCAATAAGCACAGACAGGTAGGCTCAAGGGTCAGGAAGTTCAAGAGCGTGGGGGATCCCCAGATGGGGGTTGGAGAAAGCCCTGGGTCTAGGGGCAAGCTTCACCTGGTTGGGTCCCAAGGAGGAATTGGGATGCCTGGCATAGCCCTGATGACCAAGGGATCTGGTCTTCTCCCATCTTCAGCTCCCTGGGACACACCAGCACTGAGCTGGATTTCTTAGCAAACGTATAAAGAGCAGAAGTTCAATGATGGAGATAGGAAAGAGGGAGAAATGGTAGTATTGGGGCAAAGGAGAAGACATCAAAGGAAAAATGAAGGAGGCCAATGTGTTAGACCAGCCAAAGAAATGACTATCTAATTGTCACATTTCACAACTCAGTGAAAAGGTAGGAGATAGGGGTAGAGAGATGTCTTGGTAAAACTGGCCCCATGGTTTCCTTTCACAGGATTCTCTATGGAAAAGCCAGCCTCGGTTGGGTCCCTAGGAACTACCAATATCATTCACCATAACAACCACAACCACCACATCACGTAGAAAGTAGTTATAGTTATAGTTATAGTTATAGTGGTTATATTTATATATATATATATAGTAGTTATAGTTATATGTAGAAGTATAACTAGGACAGGACAATGGGGGCTTTGCTTAGGATGCTGAAATTTAGAGGGCACTCGTGGCACTTAGAACCTAGAAAGAACAGAGCCTAGCACCAGATGGTTCACCCCTCAGGGGCTGCACCCAGGCAAGATCCCACCTACCACCGCTCCCACCTTTTTGAATAGCTCTCCCAGCAATGGCCTCTGCCCCAGGGATCCTGATCTGGGCTTCATTTAATTGAAGGGCAGATTTCCTTCCGTTCCACCCAGTGGCAGTTCATGAGTCCCCAGGAACAAAAATCCCCAGTTTCCGCTCTGCTAATTGCTCCCTGAGATTCTCCTCATAACACTCTTGTAAGGTAGGTATTAGGGATGAGGAAGAGATGGGACTTGGGATTTCATCAGGACACATGATACCTGAATGAAGAAACTCCATCTGCCACAGTAGTTTGGCACATTCTAGGCCACAGATAGTCTTAGAGGGCTGCCTAGAGTAACGAGATGTTAAATATAATAATAGCAAGCATTTATAAGGCACTTTAAGTTTTGCCAAGTGCTTTCCCTATATTAGCTCATTTGTCTTCACAGCAACCCTCTGGGCTGGCTGCTGTTTTATCCCCATCTTACAAGTGAGGTAAATGACTTGCCCAAGGTCGCACATGCACAGCCAGCACATACCAGAGTCAGGACTAGAATCCAGATCCTTTCTGGTTCTTAGATCAGCTCTCTATATAGTACACTGCTCTGACTCTCAAGGAGGTAGATGCTGTATTCTTATTCCCAAATTACAGATAGGTCCAGAGAGGGGAGGAAATTCATCCAAAGTCACGCAGCAAGCAAATGTTGGAACCAGAATTCACAACCAGCTCCTGCGTCTCCAAATCCCTTGTCCTTCCTATTTCATTATACGACCTTTCATTAGCATAGCCAGTGGCCTGTGCAGCAGGTGCTGGGGCTACATCTCTGCCCTTCAGAGGCTTATCATAAGGTGGAGGAGGTTGACCCTAAGCCCCGGCCCACCATGCCCAGTGTCCTGGCTGTCCCCTGGCTTGGTCACCTTCTAAGGACCCGGATAGTCACTCTAGTACAGGGAAAGCAGACTTCCCAGTGGGGATCAATTAGTGCACAGTCAACATTCAGAACCCCAGGTCCTGCCTAAAGGCCCTGCCTTGGCCCCTAGGTCCCTGGCCAGTCTCTGTACTCTCTCTCTCTCTCTCTCTCCTAACACTTCTGGGAAAGATCTATCTAGAGGGAGATCTGACTTTGCTCTCCATGGAGGAGACATTTACATACCTCGTTAAAAAAAAATAGGATCGTAAATAGGAAAGAGCTATAAAGCTTGTCACCTCCAGGCACATTGTCCCCATGAGCCTCAGCCAGGACTGTTCCACTCCAAGGTCACAGGAGCCCCCAGGGCTGCCCCAGGAAGGTAGAAAAAACAATTTCCCAAGTGCCCTTGGGAGGAAGGGTCAAAGGAAGACCCCCCCCCAACCCCATTCCCACACATGTTCCCCATGTCCCTCCTCTACCCCCGATGAATAGAGAGGAGGCAGCTGATGCAGGAGGAAGTCACTGGCCATTCTGCCTCTAATGCATCCCCTTCTCTCCTAACACAGCCCCCAGTCTGGTGCAGCCCCTCATCGCCTCGTGCCTGGATTACTGCAGTAGCAGCTGGGAGCTCTGCCTGCCCTAAGTCTCTCTTCATGCCATCCTCCCTTCAGCAACTAAAGTGATCTTCCTAAATCATGGGTCCAGTCATGTCAAGAGTAAACTCAGTAAACTGCTCAGTAAACTCCACTGGCTCCCCATCACTTCCAGGATCAAATAGCAAATGCTCTGTTTGTCCTTCAAAGCCCTTCATAACCTCACCCTCTCCTATTTTTTCAGTCTTCTTACGCTTTACTCCCCAACACGTACACTTCCATCCAGTGACCCTGGCCTGCAAAGAAGGCAGTATAACTTTTAGGATACCCATTTTACAGATGAATATACTGTAGAGACCCAACATCACACAGCTAGAAACCACCGTCACCTGTTCTGATTTCAGGACACAGGACTTATTCCGTTAGACTGTGCTCTTTTGATCAGACCTAAGTATAGGCCAACTTCCTCATTTTACAGATGAGGAAACTGAGGTCCAGAGACTTGCTGAGTTCACCCAAGGAGTGTCAGAGGCACAATTTGAAACAGGTCCCCTGTCCCCAGAGCCCCACTGTACCCCACTGCCCACTGATGTATCTTGAGTAACTAATCTCATGGAGAATAGTTCAGAATAATGAGAACTGACATTTCCAGAGCATATAAGGGTTTAGCTAGCCCTGTGGTAGAGGTACTTCATTCCCTCACATTTTAGAGATGAGAAAACTGAGGCTCAGAGATGTTCAATAGTTTGGTCCAGATCACCCAATTAGTCAGTTTCAGAGGTGGGGTTTGAAATAAAGTCCAGTCCTTTCACCATGGTACCATGGTACCATGGCACCCCAGAAGAGTCAGGATCTCATTTGGTTGGGTGTTTTCTCTCCCAGTTCTGATCACAGCCCCTCCATGCCTTAAGAGAATGTCTTCAAGAGTGACTGTGGTCAAAAATATTCATCACCATCCCCTTGGTTCAGAGACTTTCCAAACTAAGTTAGTCTAGTCCTCATACAACTGATCCACTGCCTATCCCTGGGCCCCTTCTCGAAGGCTTCCCAGCTTGTTGGGACCAGCCCAAGTGAATGCTTTGCTGCTGGTACCTTTGAGAGTTCAGCATCACCTCCACCCAACAAGAGGGCTGCCAGAAAACTATCCTTGCTTTGAGGTCCTCTCTGAGTCATCACTCACTCACAACCGCAGCACGGAAAAGCCCCCATCTATGGTTTACCTTTGTGAAGTCATCCAGAAAGGACACTTGAGTTTCAAATAAAAGATGCCTCTTCAAAGAAGATAGCAAATTAAGCAGCAAGTGCCCCTCCTGCCTGAAAGGGCAGACTCGGTCCTTCATTCAACAAGCAAGTAGGGACAGACTACACATGAATGGGACACATGTAACCAGGGTACCCAAGGGAAGGAACACATACTCAGGAAACCTCTGTGACCTGGGCCAATGCACAGCCAATACCATTCGCACCTTTGACACTGCCCGCTGCCAATGTCTTTGATGACATCACTAGGTCATCATTTACTCCACTCTGCTCTCCCCCAAGCATTAGATCCTCTCTGCCAGTCCCTACCAGCAATGTGCAGTGAGTTGTTTTCTGCTACCATATGCTGGTCTTCCATTCCCGGAGGCTGCCTCTGCTCTGCTCTGAAACTATCAGCTCTGAATACAAGTGGCTAATAACATTCTCTTAGCAGGGAGGGCTACGAGTCTTTCAGTACGGATGGCCCAAGGCCATGACAGCTGTGCCCAGC